AAAAAAAAAAAAAAAAAAAAAAAAAAAAAAGGGAAAAAAAAAAAAAAAAAAAAAACTCACCTCAAGCTGGTAGAACGAGGGCTCTGCAGGGGTCTCGTTGCGGGCGCGCTTGAAGTACTTGTAGAACTATTCATTCACCCATCAGCATCGGCTTCAACCCAACCCTAGAAGTCGGAAGGATGAGGCACATACAGTGAGCATCTCCATCTGACCGGGCTCTTGGCTCAGCATCTTAACAAGCTTCGTCGCGAACTCGAAACCAGCCTTCAGGGCATCAGCCAGAGGGCCTTCGACCGTGGCCTTGTCGTCGCCGCCAAGGACAGCCTCGACGGCGGCCTTGAGGAGATCGATGTTGATGCCGGCGGCAGCGGACTGGATTTCGGCGAACTTAGCGCCGGACTGGGCGAAGCTCAGGTTCTCGAAGAAGGCGTCGACGGACATTTTGATTTGGTTTGAGAAGATAGGTTCTGTAGTGAGGATGGGAGTGTTTTGGATGCAGAGAAGATGAGGCTTTTGTTGGTTTGGGGGGAGGGGAGACGAAGTGGGGGGAATTGTTTGTTTGGTTGCGTTTTGGTGGGGTAATTTCTGGGTGACTTGTTTGTTGGGACTCACATGGCTGGCACCTGATTCTGTCTTTCTGGCTAGCTCGTGATGGTATAGAATGAGTCTACTATTACTTGTGCGTAGTAATTCTTCTGATCCTGGGTGGTTGGAGGTGTGTATTCATGCCAGGTATCCATATCGTTCAATATTCCCAACGCCACTATGCAAACAAAATAGGGTAACTCGTCGCTACAACACACATATAGCTAAAACAACAAGTACAAAACAAAAAAAGAAAAAAGAAAAAGAAAAAGGCCAATAGGTTAGAAGGCAAAATTCCACTACCAATCTACAGCCCAGCCGTTCTTGTCCAGGAACTCCTCGCACGCCGCTTTGAGCGCATAGTTTGGCCGCAGGTCATTGACCGTCATAGACGTCCGAGTAATTGGGTCGACCCCGGCCTGCTCAACGTACTTCTGGATGCCGATGCGGTCAAAGCTGGTCCCAGACGGAGTGATAACGGGGTCGTGCATGATCTCGAAGGTGATCCCATCGACCAAGTAATCGGGTACAACCTGCCACACACAGTTAGCACAGTCCCACTGCAGTACCACCACAGCCATTCCGATTGCGATAGACAAACTCACCCTCTCCTGGATGTCCCCCTTGGATGCAATCCGGAACGCATCTCTCACATTCTGCGTATGGTTCTTCGCATCCTCACGGAGCGCCTTCTGATCCTCCACAAACCCAATCTGTCCAATCTCCTCCCGATCCAACTTTCCCTGCAACTCCGCCAATGCCCGGTTCAAGTCCGACTCAATCAACGCCTCCACACTCGCCAGCGTCGCATTCATCTCCCGCAGCCGTGCTGTCTCCTTGTGCGCCCAGATCTGCTGCTTCGCGCGCAGAACCGCCTTGGACAGATTCTCCGTCTGCACGTTCTTCGCCGCCAGGCTCGCCCGGTACGCATCGATAGCGACCTCATACGCCTCCTGCGGACGCTGCAGTCCCAACAGCGCCTGCGCCAGGTACCAGCAGCTCTTCAGGCTGGACGCGCTCTTGGGCCCATACAGGCTAATCGCAGCGCGCGCATCGTGCTCCACGCCCTCCCATAGCTCGAGCCGGATCCGAGTCAGAGCGCGGTTCGTAAAGAACGTCGGTTCGCGCGGATTCTTGTGGATTCTATGCCACGTTGGCGATTAGCCTGGGGGGTGTGGTCTTTGTTTTCAGATATGTAGATACAAAACAAATTCCCTTTTCTTTTCATCCTTTTCTTGGGAATGATGCAACATAAATCGAATAGAATCAGCGAAACTCACGCTTGCGAATACAGCTCCTCGGCACCGTTGTAATCGCCCTCCTTGAAGAGCTGGTTACCCTTCTCCTTCAATTCAAACGCCATTGTCTAGATCGGATGATTTGATTCGATATATAACCAAGAATGGGGAAGCACGACCTTTCTTCGGTATCCAATGTGCGATGCGCCGTTCCTGTTACTTTTTTTTTGTGAAGTTGAATTACAAAGCGACTATCGGCCAAATTGGAGTGGGGCGCTCCACACGCTGTCCGCAACTAAGTGATCTCCTGGGACCGAACTAAAGATAGAAAAGAAGAGAATTATATAGAACCGCTGGAACGGTATGATCAGACGGCAACGAGGGTTGGGAACCGAGGCCAACGCTTTGGTCGCGGAGGTTGTCGCTGACCCTGGGAATCTACCTGTTATTGTCGGGGGTCTTGGTGCTATAAAGTGAGCGGGATGGCAATTAACGGGGATCTGAAACTACTAATGTAGTGGTTGTTGGTGTCGTCGGGTAAGTCCCGGATGGTGTCAGCCCAATGGGTGACGGGCGGTTAGTCTGACTGTGTTCGGTCGGTGTGACCGGATATGAAGAAGGAGAACGAGGGAATGTGTCTCCATGATTAAGAGTGTTGTCGCTGTTTCTTGAGATCGAAGCTGATCGATGCACAAAGAATGATGGCGGAGGATATCGGATCAGTCAGCAACGTTCTTTTTTTTTGGCGTTCTAACTCTTTATGGAACTATGTGTTGGTATTGTAATGTTTCAGAATTACTTCATCCATTTCTAGACTTCAGTGGTTATTAGTGATGGGATAGCGGTACTGTTCAAAAGATAATATTCATTCTATCCTAACCCTGCGATCTAGCAACTAGTAGCCAGGACGGAGCAAAACAAAACAAGGGAAATTCGGCCAGCCAAATTCATTCCAAGCGCTTCGTGGTATCGTTGACTTATTTTGTGAATGCAATATTATAAACAAAAGCTCGCGGAGCAGCCCATCCTGATCAGGATGCTGTCCCCTCGCTCGGAAGAGGTATAAGAACACGGCGTAAGGGAGAAGTGATTGGATGCTTCGACCAAACGAATCTCGATGATCGAACGGTGCGCCATGAGCGCCATCGCAAAGATGGCACCGTCGACACGCGATCCGTTCGCTCGCGCATGGTTTCAAGCGCCATTATCAGAAGATTTACTGAGCCTTGGCGAATTCGGCCTCGTAGTCGGAGATGGCCTGGACCTTGGCGGCCGATGCGCTCTTGGGATCGAAGCGGTAGGTCAGCCACTCGTTGGCAAGCTTCTTAGCGAGCTCAATGCCAATGACACGCTGACCGAAGCAGAGGACGTGGGCGTCGTTGCTCAGGATAGCACGCTCGACGGAGAAGGAGTCGTGAGCAGTGACGGCGCGGATGCCGGGAACCTTGTTGGCGGCGATAGCAACACCCAGACCCGTACCGCAGATGAAGAGACCACGGTCCGCCTTGCCCTCCTTGATGAGTTTCGCACCGGCGACGGCGGGGTGAGGGTAGGCAGTCTTGTCGGAGGTCGAGTTGACACCAACATCATCGACGGACGCGACGAGAGGGTTCTTCTCGAGGGCAGCCTTGAGGGTCTCCTTGTAGGGTTGGCCAGCCTCGTCACAGGCCATGACAATGCGAAGGGGCTTCTGATCGGCAGACATGTTGATGATTTTGGGTATAAGAGTCAATTGACTTCTGCGACGGTTTCTTTAGGATTGAGAGAAAGAGGAATTGAATTGGTGAGTGAGACTGGAGGAAAGTATCTTGGTGAATGGAAAGGATGGGACCGAAGACAGGAATCACGGATCCTTATATAGCTTGGAAAGTCAGTCCGTCCCCCTCCATTCTCTCCCCGGGTCAAACTAGGTTTCTAGCTCTTCCTTCTTATCTGGGGAAGGTTGCGCCGTGCCTCACCATCGAACCAAACCTCGGCGACGGACAGGTGTATTGATTGGGTTAAAGCATAAGGGATGAATCGCCCGTGCTATCTTTTTCGTTGCGCATAAATCTCTCCGGCAGAACATCCCCACCGCAACAGGATCCAAAGGACGACGCATCGAGGATGATGTCTGGTTCCAACTGCCCCACGGGTGGCGTCATAGCTTTACATGGGTATGATGGAGGGATCGGAGTCGGAACTCCTGGAACTAAAACCTGCGTGGCTTATGAGGTGCAAGAGTACCCAGACGTTGCATGGTCCAATCATTGCCCAATGGACGTTATACTGAGCAGGCAACATTCGGATCTTTTAGGGGACAATCACTTTCTATTTGGTCGCCAAAGCTTCCTAAATGACCACCATGTAGGTCTACTAAGGTACTGATACTGATTTACAACATAAGCTCCCGGCGAAGTCAATATCTACTCGGTCATGGCGCCGCCACCTCCGTTTTCTATTACGAAGTCAAAGAGAGAGAGAGCCCTTGCATAATGAGTTCCCTTGTCAATGAAACGACTATGAATTGCAATCCTTCCGATGTCCCGTGGGGCGCGGTTTAGATGGCTGCAGCCCGTGTAGCCAATAATATCCCATTCACTATTCCTAACCAGGCTAGCCGAGAGCCTAAGGCCTTAGTTTCCTATCAAAAACTGCCATGGAACGGAATCAAATCAAACCACCAACCCTGTGTGTATTGAGCGGGATTATCTGGCCCTTTCGAGGCCGTCGAGAAACCTGCCGTCTGCATGTTAGAGTTCTGCCGGAATGCTCAGCAGTATCTGCACAAAACATTCCAACCCCTCCCAACACTGCCGCTGACGAGACGGCACTGCACCACGTCGATGCGCCTGAAGAATCCTTTGGATTCATGTTCGCTCACGATGGGCAATCGTAGCTTCCCCACAGGGGCTGTAACTCCGGGGTATCTCTAATTGTTGGGTCATAGCGACAGGTGGTTGCGACAACTCGGTACCCACGGATTGTAAGGACTGCTGCGGACACGCCCAAAGGAGTAAAGTCCAGGAGACTCCAACGAAAGACCGTACTTTCGGATTGGTTAATCAGATGGAGACCATTTTCGTATCAACGTGCATAGACTAATGTGGCCAGAGATAGAATTGAATTCAGCTCGGCACCAATGATGGCGGGCACCTTCACGGTAACGATTGACTCCTTCGCTTGGCCTAGTGCAGGATACCTGCCTGTATCTGCTTGGCACTAGTGGGCGTCGAAAAATCGAACCCAGCACATGATACTCGAAAATTGAATTCCAGACCCTCAGATTGCCTGGCGAATTCCCAAGTGTAGATATATAGAGGTCATGTGTACCTCTTGTCTCCATATTTTAGAAAAAAATCTCAGTCAAGCTATTGAGGGCAGGAGACCTCGCATGTCCTAATGAGGAGCTCCCGAAAGGACTGGTGCAGAATAGGCCCGGCTCGGCTCTCTCCCACTGCACTGGGGGAAACTCCACCTTTCGAACCAAACCCATTTCATTAATTGGTGGCCCACAGCCATCCGATCAACCATCACGTCCTTAGGCCGCGAGGCATCAAGGGTACCAGAACAGGGAATCGCAGCAAAGTCGGCAAACAGGCTCTCAGACAGACTTACCGCATGAGGACTGGTGCCTCGTGTAAAATTACCGTCACTCGTGGAACCGGGAGGTCCATGCGGCACCCGGAATGCACGCAACAGTACATCCCATCCATGGCGTTCGGTATTGTTCCATACACACGGCTTGGATGCCTCAATTTCTGACTTCACGCCTTGGCCTCATATCGGAACGATCGGTTGCGACGATAGTTTCATAACTAGTTCCAGTGACCCCTCCTGGACACACCCTTCCCCCGCCAACAGTTATTATGGTCGTCAACGTCCCTCCTCGGAGTCCAAACTGGCACTGGGGGATACGTTGGTATACCACACCCTCCCGGCCTCCATAATATAAGGATTCACCTACATATGACATCTCGCGACTCCATGATCTGACAGGGTGCATCCCCATAGTTGGTCCACAAAACCTCTCCCTTTCAGCCAGTGACATCACCCGCTGGGGGATGCATTCGCGTGGGACGATCGACTGTCTCCTCTTTTTTGTCGCTGGGTAAGCCCACTTGGTTACCGAACCTCCTGGTTTAGTCCCAGACTTTCGTCCGCTCACAGCCGCAGGTGGCCTCAGGCGCCATTTAATTTACTAGGTCCAAAATCAACTGAACTCACTGGACGAACGACGCAACCCAAACGACTCCCCGCGGATCGCACTGACCAAGTTGATTGGCAGAATTCCCCTCAGTTGAACGTCGTCTCCCTGCTATTTTCGTGTTTCGGAGATTTGTTCCACTTTCCCCAACAAATATATTCGTACTTCTGGTTTCCCTGGTCTCCAGGAAACGAACTCGCTTTCCGTGTCGCCTAAAGTGGAGTTTCTAGCGTCGCGGCGGTTATCCCAGGAATCACACCAGAGTGGTTGTCTATGTCTAACCCTCCCAAGAATTACGAGTTTCCCACCCAGCGTTGCGTGCGAGTGTCAAACTAGCGGCTCGCAATCGACCAGGATTTCCAGCGAACCACAGAACACAAAAGAATTTAAACCAGAGACAGACCAAAAATGGCCGCTACGGAGCAAACATACCCGGTGCTACCCAGCACCTTACTCATCATCTCGCTGAAGATGTACTTCACACCCACCCGAACAATAGACTATCTCCGCGCGCTGCTCGACCCCCAGAATGACATTGTGCGGCCCGCGAACCGCTCCAAGCTCCTGTTGGCCCTGATCCCCGACTTCCTGACCATCTACCCCAGCAACGAGATCCTCAAAAACTATGAAGCCAGCCTAGCCCCTCAGGAAGCCAAGACCCTGCCACCCGCGTTCCTCCTGGGCGCCCAGGACTGCTTCTGGGAGCCGCTGGGCGCATACACGGGGGAAGTGTCCCCACTCGCTCTCCGCGCCATGGGCGTGTCCATCGTTGAGCTGGGCCACGCCGAGCGCCGCTCCCTGTTCGGCGAAACAGACGACCAGACCGGTCGCAAGGCCGCTGCGGCCTCCGCCCACGGTATGGTGCCGCTCGTGTGCATTGGCGAGGTCACAGCGCCGGGCCCCGTTGCGTCCCAGGCCGTTGGGCTGGCCGTGCGCGAGTGCGAGGTGCAGGTGCGCGCAGTTCTCCAGGCCATCCCCGCCCATGCGCCTGTGATATTCGCCTATGAGCCCGTGTGGGCGATAGGAAAGCCCAGGCCAGCTGGCGTCGATCACATTTCTGCCGTGGTGGACGGCATCAAGGCGGTGATTGGGGAGCGTCCTGGGGACGTCCGCATTTTGTATGGGGGAAGCGCCGGGCCGGGCCTGTGGGGCGCGGGCGGTCTGGGGAAAGCCGTTGACGGCATGTTCCTGGGGAGATTCGCCCATGAGATCGAGGGCGTGCGGAAGGTGGTCAGGGAAGTCGAGGAGACGTTGAACGTCGCTTGATTTCTTTCTTCGTAGTAATGCGTTTTTCGTAATGAGCTGCATATGCATAGCATAGAGGGGTAAAAGCCAGGTCGGGTTGACGAAGTATACGAGCTTAGATTGTCATGATCTTTCATTTCTCCTCTTCTCTGTTAATGTTATACTGTGCCTGGAATAGGGTACATGTGGATACCTGTGGATGAATTCAGATGCTCCTTTATCAGGTTACTATAGACCCGAACCCCCGAAGGGTAGAAAGGTCAAATTGAAATCAAATATTTCTAGCTTTTATAAAACGAACGTCAAACACTGCCGAACACTATTTACATATACTTTACTCAGAAACCGTCACCCATCTAAAATCTTCTAAGCTTTCTTCTCCTCGCGCATCTCCTGCTTTACACGAGTCACGGTGCCGATACCACCATACACAACGCCCGTATACATCATAGCGACGGAGGCACCAGCATCAAGGACAGCCTGAGCCTGCTTGCCGTTGGTGATACCTCCCGAGGCGAAGATGACTTTCCGGGGAGCCTGGGTAGCGGGATTAGGCGCTTCCACTGGAGGGACGTTTTCCGAGTCAGGTTCCGCCTGTACCAGTTTCGTAGTAGCCTCCTGAGCAGCTTCGGCGAGTTCCGGCGTAACGGGCGCTTGGTCGAGGAGAGCTCTGTACCGAGCTACTAGGGCCACAGTGCGGTCGAAGAGTTGAGGGCCGGAGTAACCACCGGTCTCTTTCAGGGTGGTCTGTTCTTTCGGGGGGAGGGCTACGCCCTTCGGCAAGGGTTCAGGGCGGCGGTTGGTTGTGTTCCCCACAATTACACCGTCGACGCCAGAGCCCTGGACTGCGGCGCAGATACCGGAGACTTGTTCGTCGGCGTCCTCGTCGGGGCTGACCTTGACCATGACACGTGGCTTGGTTTTGCGGTCGACGCTCTGTGCTGCACCAACGACGGCCTTCAGGATGGCGGTAAGAGGGGCAGTCGCCTGGAGATCACGCAGGCCGGGGGTGTTGGGGCTGGAAACATTCACCACGAGGATATCGGCGTATTTGGCCACCCGATCAACGCAGTACACATAGTCACGCTTGATGGCTTCGATGTCGGCATCTGGCGTCACCTTGTTCTTTGCGACCTGCACAGCGAGGAGTCTTCCTGGCCGGAGACTGCCTGGGGGAACACCAGCTTCGCCGTTCAGGACACGCTCCTCGGCCAGGTCATGCGCTCCGAATCCATGGGCATATGCGTAGTCGCGGACTCTCTGTTGGAGAACAGCTGCCATATGGTCGGCGCCCTTGGAGTTGAGACCATATCGGTTGATCATCGCTTTCTGGGACGGGAGCCGGAAGACACGAGGCCGGGGGTTACCTTCTTGTGGTAGCGGAGTGGTACCACCCACCTCGACGATTCCAGGTCCGATCTCAAAGAGAGGGTCCGGGATTTCAGCGTGCTTGTCAAGTCCAGCGGAAATACCAATCGGGTTGGTAAGGGTGTATCCGAAGACCTAAAACCCCAAACTGTTCAGTTTCAATCTTCTAAGGCTCCGCCGCAAAAAAAGCCATTACCTCGGTCGCGAGGACGCCATTACCGTCCTGGTTACCCCGCTCTCTAGGATGAAGTCCAAACTTGTAAAGATTCTTCAAAGCATCCACTCCGATATGGTGCGCATCCTCCGCATCAGGGTACAACACCCGAATCAGAGGGACAACGCCATACCGATGAACACTAGCCCTAGTATCCGTTCCATACACGAAGCCAACTAGAAGGGTAAGAGCCAAGGAAGTACCGATAACGGTCCTCCGGAGTCCCCGGCCCGCTTTCTTAGGTGCCTCCTTCACGGTCTCCTTCACGGCCTCCGTTGTCTCCGCGACAGTATCCGACGCATACCTCAAGCTTGCTTGCCGAAACGCAGGCTGTCTGTGGAGGATTGACGGTCGCTGAGAACAGCGGAGAGAAGGAATTGCGCGGGCTCTAGGTCCTGCAGACCTGAAGGCAATATTGATTGAGTTGGATGCCATATTTACTTTTTGATGATCCTAGGAGGATCCAATTATTGACAAGATGCTTGGTTTTCAATTGACCTACGAATGGTTAGCGGCTCCATACTAGGAATGCGCCCAATAACATAGTCTTGAAGCATTGACAGGAGGGGGGAAACAATAACATCAATTCGGGATTACAAAGGACCTGAATCAGTTTCCATATCCAGGTCTTCCATAACCTAGAGCATCGAACCACAGGAACCGACAAACCCCCACCGGTGACGATACCGAGCTTTGGACAACGATCAATAGAAAGGAAGAATCGGCTCAACTCACCGCTTGAACAGGTCAATTGTAAACTACTGATGTAAACAGATAAGAGAAAAGCAATATAAGCTTCCCCAAGCTAATCCTCCAAGAGACAACACTCAAGGACGGCGCTGGAGCATTTCTTCAAGTTCACTTTTGCTTCTTGCGTCAACGGATGCGGAGGGCGGTCAGATAATGACCGGCAGATTGGCGGACTTGAATGTACGTGGGCGGTGTGGTAAGCAAGATGCTCTCGGCTTCGGCAGCAGCGGTCAGGTATAGTAACGGCAGTGGGTATCAGATTCAGACGTCGACAAGATGGTGCGATTTCCGTATGCATTTTCTCGGCTGGCGGTGTGATATTCGCTACCTAGTATAGTAAAAATAGTCGATACTGTCTAGGTATCAAGTATAAATTATGAGTTACCCACCTTGCTTGACCCTGACTGAAAGAAACAAATTATTCGCTGACAATAGGACATTGTCGTTACGGCCAAGCAGAAAGGGTTAGAAGACAGACGACAGCCGAAACAGAATATATATAATAAAGATGTTGCTGTTTCATGTCCAAGGATTTAAAACAATTACTATGATCGGCCCAATCCTGGATAACCTAGAGAAGCTTCACAATCTCAGAGTACTGGATGGCCTGGGGCAGCAAGAGCTAAAACTAAAGGATGAACTACTACATAAGCTTGTCTAATCCAACTTCGACTAAGCAACTTTAGCACCAGCGACGTTGGCTTGGATACGATCCAGAATCTCATCAGTTGCTTCCTGGGAACTCGCTCCTATACTTCGTATCACCGACTCTCGGCTAGGTGACCGGACTTGAAATAACGCGCGAAATGGCATTGGCCTGGACACCAGGCCAACTTGCTTCATCCTAAAGGCATCCACCAACTCATTTTTCTCGGGCTTGATGTCATATGCCCACAACAGCCTAGCAATAATGATGTTCAGAGAGTTCACAGTAAGGTGCTTGCCTACACAACCTCTCCGCCCAAACCCAAAGCCGCTGAGTTGTAGATTGGGGTTCTGGATCCATCGCTCTGGACTAAATGAGTCGGCATCTTCAAACATATCATCATCAAGATACAGCGACCAGCTGTTTGCAATAACAACAGAGCCTTTTGGAATGTGGTATCCCATGTACTCATCATCTTGCTCCACCAGACGAGGAACTCCGGCAGTCACTATCGGTCGCCACCGCAGCACTTCTTTCACAAATGCCATTGTGAAAGGCAACTTGGACATGTCCTCGAACGAAGGGAGTCTATGCTGTCCAACAACGGTATCAAGCTCGAGTTGGGCTGTCCGAACCGCATCGGGGTGCAGAACTGTCGCTAGCATAAAAACCTCGAGGACAGAGGTTGTGGTGTCACTCCCTGCTTCATAGAGGAAACCAATGACATATGATAATTCCTTCTCGGTTAAATTCTGCGCCTCTGGTACCCCCATGAGGGCTTTCGTCCAATTCCAATTCCCTCTTTCTAAAGCAGCCCTGAGATTCTGGGTAAACAGTTTGACTTCCCGATCGTGAAACCCATCTGCGACTTGCTTCCACTTCGACAACCGTCGAGGAAGATATTCTAGCTGTGGGAAAAGGTCTACCAACCAATTCCCCATCATAACCACCTCCATTAAATTCTTGATAAGCAGGTCGATCTCTTGCACCTCATGCTCATCACCTCTTGGCATCCGCTTTCCATATGCAAGTGTAAAGAGGAGACTTGCCGAAAAGCGACGGAAGCGATCTGAAAAATCATTTGTGGACAACAGATCAAATAGGAGCTGGTGGCTTTCGACTTCTTGGATTTCGTGATAGAACTGACAAGCACTGTTGCTGAGAAGTGAAGTTTGGAGGCGGCGGTGTATCCTCCATAGCTTGCCGTACGGCATCACGCTTGTTTGCAGGTTCTTGGTCACCCGCTCAGCAACAACCATCCTGGGTCTTGAGCTGTACCTTTCACTTCTCTTCTCCAGAATGTCTCTTGTTGCTTGAGAGGTTCCTAGCATGATAATCGTCTGCGGGCCATACTTGACTGTCATAATCGGCCCGTACTTTTTATGCCACTTTTGGTATGTTTTCCATGGCTCGGATTTTGGGTATTGGTGAAGGTTGCCAATCAATGGAAGACGTGGAGGCCCCGGGGGAAGCGGCCGCTTGGGTCTCCGGAGGATGGACGCACAGTAGCAGAGAAGAACAAGGGTCAACAATATCACAACTTTGGTGGTTTCCATAATGTCTGTAATTGATTTTGTTAGTCTGGCATTCCTGTCCAGCAGATCTAGTTTAGATCTATATTTTGTTGATTATAAACCTCATAGCTACTCTCATAGGTTACACCCTTACCCCTCTTTCACTGAACCGTCTGTTTTCTGAGGCCCACGAAGAGAAGTGAGAGACAAGGCCCCTAGCATGATGCATAGCTCTCTTAAACAGACTCTATATCCGGAGTCATGCTGTATTACTCTGCATGTGATATGTTTGGCGCTACTACATGTCTGATCTTGACCGACATATCAAGGTTGCTATTAGGGTTTAAGCCAAAAGCTACTACTAGGTCAAGACTAAGTTCTGCGGGATAGGGAGGTGTGGATGGATCTTCGGACGATGTGCAAGCACAATCATTTTCTCACCTTTGTAGTGCAAGAATGACAAGAGCCTGCTGAAGTAAAAATAACAGCCAGACTATAAACAGGACTCAGACTCTTCTAGAGCCCTTTACAGGATATTTTTTCCGTGAGATTTCGATGTTACACATGACTTTGATGTGGCTCCTACAAGAGCTCACTGCCCACTATTATTACCTGCACAAAAGGCTATGCATATGGATACCACTTCAATAGATTCATCATCAGGTTCCTACAATTTGTTTGGAATACTTTCAATGGCTTTCTCCGTGGTGACCTGGCACCAAAGCCTGTCGCTTCTAAGGGATTTCATTGCAACGGAGTTCAGTGAAAGTCGGACCTCCCAGAATCCCCGCCTTTGATAGCCTAATAATCGAGCACTAGATTCTGAACGTGGGGATAGAAGCCAGGCAACACCATCTGCTCTGTTATCCGGTGCATCAACGTCATAAGGGGTACCCAAACCTGGGCCAAAATCCATATCATACGACGGTACGCCACGCATGCTACTGACTGACAAGTCACCAAGCTTGGCGGGAAGGTACCAATCTTTACTCGCCATGATATGCGAGATGATATTCCGGACATGCTCGGGGTTGACAGATCGGTATGTTTTTTGGACGGACAGAGCCAGGTTGCTAAGAAGAGTAATGTCATTTGGGTTAAATTCATGCAACGTGTCACTAGTGTCCGAATTGAACACCAAATGATCTGCATCATGCAACTCTGTACTTTTGAAATGGTACGTGGATGTAGGAGTGACGATTGCATTGCCCAGGTATGTACTTGGAATGTTGAGAATCCCACGAACATCAACCGCAAACAAGAGAGAAGAATTGAGGCCAGCGAATGAAGACCTATCCCTCTCTACTGATGTCGCACGGGACCGTGCACGTGTCCCGCAAAGCCAGATCAAAGCGGTTACGATCTCATTGTTGGAGAAGCCTTGCCAGCTAGCATCATATTTAGGGCTTGACGGATTAATCCGGCGCGCCATATCCTTTCCGGCTTTTATGGCTGTAGTACAGGCTTCGCGCAGCCTTCTGATCTTTTCAACGTCGAGGCAAAAGCGGCGACTGATTGGGGCTCCAAGGTTAGAGCTTGGTGCTGCCTGCTGAATATCGGACCCACCGCCGTCGTCCCTGGCCAGGTGACTTTCATTTGTGCTCTGATATATTCTTGCCCTGCTTTGTGCCTCACTTTCAGGAGAGGTCGAAAGTCTTTCGGGAGGTTGGTCAGGATTGCGGCAGCACTCAGAAAGAGCCTGTAGAATTGATCCTATCCCAATACCATCAATGGCCATATGATGGAAGGACACGCAGAGAACAATGCCATCGGTCATCACATTTGCTTGTAGTCGTAAAAGCGGCTGCGGTTCGGAGGGAGGTATATAAAATGGGAGAGGCATATAGTGAGGATTGAAAAGATCGTCGGGGGATAGAGCAGGGGTGTTCCTATTGACATTCCGGGGTGAGATATACTGTGCATGCTGCTTGATCTTGAGCATGGGCAGTTTGCTCCAATGGGATGGATCTGTCTGTTGCACCTCGAAGACATTCTTGGTGCCTTTTCGTTGAATGGATTGGACCAGGTTGCCTGATAGAAAGGGTAGCCGCGTAGTTAGGCGCTGGACACCTCTTTCCAATACTGAACATCCTGCTGCGGGATCTTGACAAAGAAAGGTAACAAAGAACGAGAAATGAACGGACGCCGTTGAATGGTCCAGGGGGGTCAGAACATATGGTTCGAAGGAAGGTGGTGGGACCATTTTTTCTTTCAGGAGTATGAAAGGCAAAAGCCACTCAGACGAACTGAAATTAGGAATATGAAATTAAAGCAGGTGCTGCCTTCTGCCCTCTTTTATACCTCATCGGAAATTATCCCGTAGAATACTAGTAGTCCCTCGAAGAAGATGAGCAGCCTCATGTGCCACATGGAATGCTAGCCTCTTTACTTATACTTTTAGGCGTGGGAACCCATGCCCACCAGCCCTAGTTACGGATATATCTATCACACTGTATTAGAATATATATATATATATATATATATTGAATACTGGATCCTTGTAACAAACTCCAGTTCTGTTAGAGCTCTGGGTTAAAAACAATCAATCAACACATTTATTCCTAAACTTCGACATACGAAAGCAGTATAATGTAGGTACTACTGATCACCCGATTATCCTGAAAGCTGACCTCGGAGGGTAAACCGTCTGCGATCAGTTCTATGCAACATGACCTTCTTAATTATCATTCGCTCCTATTGCTCGTCTTCCTAGGATCGTATTGCCTCCTACTCCGCTCCCAAAGTGTGGCACCTTGCATCGAGCAGGGCAATAAGCACTCGACCCCTCCACTAGAGTTCTAGCGGTCAGTTTCTGCAGCCGATTAGAAACTTAGCCCTACGCGTATTCTACCAACCACCAAAACATCTAATGGTCTATATACAATAGAGGATAGAATTGAAAAAGCGCTCGACGCATATATAATAATAAGAAGAAGAAGAAAAACCGAATGACTCAAAAACAGCGCGTGACTTCGCGGCGCCTCGGACAACATCGTCGGCATACTTCTGTAGCCGCAGTGCTCGAATACTATTAAACTTAAAGCTAGATAAGTAAAGCCCCAAGATCTCAAATAGTTAAAAACTGTGTAAGTCCGACTCTAAATAAGGTTGATAATAACTCTACTACTCCGCCTTCTAAAGTTAATAAACACTAGCTTCAACGCTAACTTTAAGATCAATCGTACGATTAAGTTAAAAAAACATATACCAGATAGGTAAGGTCTAGAGTTTCAAGATACTGTAGTTACCTTGGAGGAACTGTCTCTAGTTTTGATACTATGTACATCTTACTCTCGAGTCCCGAATACTCAATGGTTCATAAATTTCTCAATATTTTCAGGTGAAAAAACTGACTGCTGAGTTGGCGACCCCAGAACTCTAGTGTCAAAGTATTTTAGTTACACCTACCACAGTGATACACCACCCGTCGATCACAGTAAAGGGTACTGAGCCCGGTGGCTCTGTGAGAAGGAGAAGAAGTGGAATATTATTGTTAGGGTTCCAAGCTTGCCAAGAAGAAGTATAGTTGCAGTATATCAATATGTTTTAAATTCCAACTTCTAAGTTTATTGTCACAGATCCGATGACGACTCTGCATGATGACTGTATCGTATCACCTGTCCGCCGTGCATAGATATTCCAACAGCCGAACAGCAATATCGGGAATCCAGACTCGCTGCCTTTTCAATAGCGTACAATAGTCCCCCCACATCTGTCTGATTCTTTCCGAAGACTAAGGGAAAATGGGTGGCTGTAAACTACCACTATATTGATAATACAAAAGAAGCAAGAATCGGTCTTCTATCTTGATAGTATCTACTGCCTATGTACCCTTACGTAGTTGGTAAATCTTCTACCCTGTTTAGGAGGTATTCTTCTGACATTTGTACGTGAGGAGAAGTATAGTTATAGTATATCAATATATTTTAAGTTCTAACTTACAAGTTTAGAAGTAAGGAGACCTTGGAAAAGTATAGTTATACTGTATATCATAATACAGGATAATATTGTTATCAGAGTTTCAAGCCTGAAAACTGTTTACTACTGTGAGGGTGTGGGAACGAGGCAAACACGCTTGAACGCTGGACACTAGGCCAAAAGGTCAGATAATTCAGAGTTTTCCCTTTCTACATCTTTATTTACTCTGATCCTAACAATTCGCTTCTTCAGAATATAGATTATCCTATTCTACCTTACAACACCCCTACCAGTATATTTCTTCCTCACATTTGAACAGAGCCCTACATTGTTTCTCTATTCTCCAAGCCTCTTTTCTGCCCTAGGCGACTCCATAAAAGCATGACAGGCCTCCACAAGCCGACAGAGGAAATCCTTCGAACTTGGTTACAGGATGTTGGGTTTGACCTTCAGCAGGCAGTCCGGCCATTCCACACAAAACTATTCGCGGAGCTCGAAGAATATATCATTTCTCATAATCTCCAGGAGCACCAACTGAGCCGCATTTGGAAGCTCTTGCCAGCATGTACCAGCGCCGCGGACAAGTGGTATCCGCATGCTAGCCACCAGTTGAAACGATATATTGCGCTCTACACCACTTTTCTTCTCTATGTGGACGACAAAGCAGAACAGGACCTTGAACAGATCCTCCCCGATCTTCAGAGAGTTTCATCCGGTGCCTATAATGGGCTCCATGCTTTAAAGTGCGACGACACTGTTGTTAAGATGTGGTTGGAGCTCGTTGCGACTGAAACCGGAATGTACTATGGCCCATATTCAACTGGGGTCATTACCAAAGGTCTCGTCGACTTCATGCTGGGGAATACGGTTGAAGCAAATCTTGCTGCAGGCCTGAATCTTCCAGCAAAGTTTGGTCAACGAGCATCCAAATTTGTCCGTGACAAGACTGGAGCTGGGGAAGTGTACGCCCATTTCATCTTTCCTGAGCACCTTGCAGAAGAAACCCGGCATTTGCCGACCTATGTGCCCTTTATTGCTTGTATGCTGGACCTCATTGACGATATAAATGATATTCTGTCGTTCTTTAAGGAGTCCGTGGTTGGAACTGAGATGAACACAAACATCATGAACAGAGCTCGTACCTCATGTTGCAGCCCTCATGATGTGCTAGAGCAAATTTGCAGGGAAACAGCTGAGACTATGTATGCTGTCAGTAATGGGATTGGAGAAGACGGTGTTATTGGGAAGCTTTGGAAGGATTTTATTAATGGCTATATTATGTGGCACATTTGTGAGGACCGGTATCGGCTGAAGGAAATTGGGCTCACGATGAGACTTGGACAAGACAGGGTCTTATAGTATTGAATAATTCATTAATCATACAAATATGCCGGGCAGTATTAGAGTGGTACATTTGATATTTTACTACTTGATGCGGACTATAATTTCACGTAGCTTGTTTCCACGCTAGACTTGGATTCTGGAAAGATCTTGCTCACATGCGACGTCAAAGAGTGAATGAGGATTGCACTTGATTAACTACTGCCGAATCACGTGTACATATGGCGGAACATAAAGATTGGAATACTTTGGTCTATTTATGGACATAGCAAGATTATATAAGCAGCGGCTGCATAAAAGCCAGAGGGCTTGAGATAAGTTCTACCTATGTTTTTGTAGAGATAACATCATTAGCCATTTTGTCTCGGGCCGAAGGTATACATGAAGCCACCGACATGGCTAAAGTATAAATTTAGTATAGCTACGGGCCAAGGCCTTGGTAGTTGTCTTTCTTGGAGCTCAATATATGGTAGATTATGCATGACTGTATTCTGTTCGAGTCATAGTATTCAGTGCCAGTATTAGCTTATCTGCTTGGGTGCGAAGAGTGACAAGATCATAATAGTCATTTGCTTCAGCATATATCCACTCATGTTCTGAGGAACAATTAGTGGCTTGGAATCACTGGCAGCACTGACTCAACCATACAATGGATGAGACCCCAACGCCGTTGCTGACTCCCTTATCATGCTGCTCTAGGGTGTTCATGAACCATGTTGTGGGAATCCAACACGTGCGAGTCCCCTGTTGGGGTCCATTCTGTTGTCAAGATCTTCATATCGGAGAATAAACTCGCGCTGCCGGCAAGGTTTTCGTTAGCACGGGGAAGGGGAAACTTGGTTGCGAATGGGTCCTATCGTACTCTGATCTTTTTCCAGGTGGCAGGGTCCCAGATTAGGTATATGCCTCGTTCACTGACGCCGCGCTCAACATCGACGGGACCGGGATATGTTTCATCACGAGTAAGCCAACACCTCTCAATCTTGTGATATCTCCACTTGCGGCCCATTAACTCTTCGGCCACAACTTCTTGCATGATATCCCGCGGCATGCTATAGAAGATGTAGAATAATGTCTCGTCACTAAAGCTGGCAATACGTGACTGGAGTGGTTGGATGTTGGCAACGTTGTAACAAGAAGGCAGCGCAAAGTCCTGTTCCAAGGGCACGCCGGTCATGGATGCCACAAAAGGGGACGCGAAAGATGTGTGTAAAGGTCTAACATATTTTAGTTGAGCAAACAAAGCACGGGGTTAATAGACATGGGCATACTCCGGTTGGTTCAGGTCCAAGCCTAATGTCATCAGATCCTGACCTACTGCAAGAGCGGCGACATCCGGGCTATCGCTGTGAATCATGCGCAGAAGACCTGCTAGCCCGAATTTATCGAGCTCGCTCATCTCGCCTAGTGGCGGTTGCTCCGCACTTTGGGCAGCTCCAGAAGTCTCTTGTGTCTCCCCGGAAGCGGACTGTTGTTCCGTAAAATTGCGCTGGGTTGACAACACAGCATTATTCAAGTCCTGCGCAAAGTATCGTAAGCCGGTATACATGCAACCTTCATATTGAGGGCCGAACCTCTTTCTCTTGACCCGACACCCCATTGGAGGCTTGGTTGACGGGCGATCGTGACGTTCCAATACCTGGGAATGATTAATCTTTCATCAGCCAATGAAGGAAGGCCTCAACAAACATACTTCCTGATCCCGCATTGGCAGGTGACATTATTCTTTCCTGTCCGTTTATGGATGCTGATACTGCATTGCGATTCTGCGTGGCTTGGGCTTGGCTTGCGCCGGAAAGCGGTAAGCCAGCGTTGTAACTACCAAATCCCGCACTTTGCATTAAAGATCCCCTGCGATCTTGACCAATTTCTGCGGCAACGTTGCGCCCCAGAGGAGGAAATTCCTCAATATTGCCCGTCTGCGGCTGTGTGCCTGCGCCTAACTGACCGCTGATGCCCTGTCCGCCGTTTCTATAGTCATCGAGGCGATTGGCAAACTGAGCTCCAGATGGGAATACATCATCATGCGACGGTTGAGATGGTTGTTGGGGGTGGGATTGTGTTTGAAGTGGTCGTGAAGGTGCTTGAGAAGTAGGGAGTTGCTGCCTTTGGACAGGGGTCTGTTGCATGGCTCGTTGGCTGGCATTCGCCCATACTAAGTGCCCCGGATTCTGAGCTTGAGACTGTGGGGGTGCTCCGGATAGGGAAGGGAAATCGCTAGCGGACAAACTCCCAGCATTAGCGGTCAAGAAAGATTTCCGTGTCTCTTGTGTACGGAGAAGCCTCGAGGCGAGAAAACAAGCGAGGTCACACTCACGATAAATCAAGAGGTGTAGCAGGCTGCGACCCACTGAGGCTTTGCGCAAAAGACCCAATATTCCCCATACTGCGTTGCTGATTGCTCTGGATTCCTGGGGTTCCGCTGACAGGCAGGTTGAAATTCCAAGCAGCACCGCTCCCTATTTCGCCTTCCTCCATTAGCTTCCAAGGCTGTAATGATACCGAATGATAACTTCCGAATTAATCGCACCTAGTTTTCCGTTTGGCAAACGCGCCGATGCCAGAGTCGCATTTCGAGCTTGTGCTTGTTGCTGTGCGGGGAATCCAGACATACCCCGGAGAGGTTGTGGGCCTGGTCCTAGTCAATAGTAACAAGAGTCAGCATATGATAGGTTAATTCACAAGTTTTAAACAAAAAAGGTTTGTGATCTCTTCGTTCAAGCTGCCGAGGTTTGATAAGGTCTGCAAGGCGCCCGGTCGCAGGTCAAGATGCCATACTGTGAATCTATACAACTGGCGCAATGCTGAGGTGGGGATAAGACATTTCCTGTTCACGAGCGAACTTTTGAAGTAACCACAGATATACTGACAACGGCACATCGGCATATAGAGGTTGATCAAAGGAAATCACTTCTGTGGCTGGCTATACCAACACCGGGCCATGGACAGTACAAAGAGAAGAAAGGGAATTGACAAACCTGGCCGATTCATGATGTGATACAAGCTTCCAAAGGCTGTCTATAAAATAAATATTTTAATTCGGAAAACCAAGAGAAAGTTAACACAAAGAGTCTGGGGAGGTCTTGAAATCACCAGTGCTTCGAGGATCTCTGCCCACTCTCATGCGACGGATACTGGAAGGTGGAGTGGCTTCAAACGCGCGCTTCCTGGTGTGCACGGACCATCTTAGCCGCCATTTGGCGCAGCTTAGTTCCATAACTGGTAAGGTTTCTAGATGTGAAGGTCTCTTTTCAAGGGCCAACCCTCACTCATTTGCTTGGTTTAAAACTGATCCATAGATATATTCAAGATAGACAATATGACCGAAGGCTTAACCCGATTTCATTATCTCTTCTTGATCATCTGATTGGAGAACGATCCTGTTACACTGTTCTAGTAGCTTTCGAGTCCCGTCCCGCACCTGGCAATGGTTTTATACGGAAACAAAGAAGAACCGGATGCGTGTCGATACTATGAAGCGCACTTGACAATTACTCAAAACCCAAGGGACCTGGAACAGAACCGCAGTAGGCTGCCGCGACGGAGCGTGTCACACGGCAAGCGGCTGTTGAGTCACGTGTTTTACCCGCCGAAAAGTCCACTCGTTCCGTTAGCTTCTTGAGTCGGAACCGCAGGTGTTCTACGAGTCTTCTTGAAGGCCGCTACCTCCAAACCACGATGCATCGCCAATCGGTTGCGCGACTTGCTCGCCAGTGCGGGGGCCTTCCGCTGGCCGAATTGCCTCCTCCTTACCTTGCGCCGTCCCTTCATTTCTCCCGGATTCAGTGCTCGAACTTTTCGTCGACCGCTGTCGCCGCTGGCCATGGACGTGATCTGAGCAAATCACGCGGTGTGTCCGCCATCCACCATACCGGCCCCAAGTTTAAATTGGGCGTTTCGAAATACCCCCTGCCCAAGCCTGTCTCGCCGGAAACCCTCGAGAAGCGTCATCCTACCCCGGATCATGGCCTTTGGGGATTCTTCCCTCCGGACCACCAGGCACTTAGCACGCCGAAATACGATCATGCGCATGGTTAGTCCACTCTCCGTCGGGCTTTGTTGAGGGAGGGCCAAAAAAAGAGGATCTACTAGGCACAGGGTGATGCTCACCAACAATTGTTTAGGTCGGTCCTGGTCAATTCAGGAACTCCGTGAGAAGTCCTGGGAGGATCTCCATGCTCTTTGGTGGGTCTGTGTCAAGGAACGCAATCGCATAGCCACCTCTCAGCTGGAAAGACAGCGACTGAAGGCAGGTTACGGAGAATGGGAGCTTGACAATCGGGACCGGACGGTGAGTTCTTTTCCCACGTACAAAGCCTTGCAATATTATATGCCTCCATACATTGGCGACGCGGTACTGGACATTGATTCAGCATACTCATATTATGGAAATTGCGAGGCTCCATCCCATATATGGGGCTTATGCGCGTACATTGAGATCTGGACACTAACGTTTGCCCTGGACAGATCCGTGTTACGCAAAAGAGCATCAAGCACGTTCTTCGGGAAAGATGGTATGCTTGGGAAGACGCCCAGAAATTGTACAACAGTGGTTACCGGCCACAGGAAGAGGGTGCTGAAGAGGCATCGAGCACGGCATAATCTAGATAGAGCGTTACAGTTACCAGAAACGGGCTGTAAGAGCTCCTGTCTCGGATTAGTTCTGTGTATGTAGTATTATCACTCTGTATTAGTCCAATTGATTCTATATGATTCGTGAACTAGTTCCGATGCTTTATGGAGATGAGTACCGAAAAGGGGAAAGGATTTGTCACTGAGTCTAGATCGTATACCTTCTGACTTAATAGTGCAGGAGTTGTCCGATTAGGGGTGAAAGCAAAGGTACTTATGTGTATATAATAATTGGCATCTATATACTCCTTGGAGTCCACGATCTCCACAGATTATTAAGTTCATCCGATGGGAAAAGGGGTAACTCAGAGCGGTTCAGGAGGTTTACGTATTTAGATTAATGATTTTATTATATTTTATCCTCTTTAGTGTATATTTTCTTTTCGTTTCCCTTTCTTTTACTAACTTTTCTCCCAGGATCCGTAATAGTAAGAGAAATTAGTATATTCGATGACTATTCTGGAAAAGCCGACTCCTTAACTATCACTCTGAGATGGGAGGTTATTTGGATCGGTGGATCCTTTAATTAGTTGAGGGGGGAAGAGGGTACCGAATAGTAATAATAATAAGAATAAATCATTGCTCACGAGTGATCCGCGGGGGATAGTAATAGACTAGACTAGACTACCTAACGGCCTGACCCAGAAGGTTGAAGGACCTCCTTTCAAAACACAAACTCACCGCTCCCATTCATTCATTCATTCTCCGTCTCCGCATCCTCCCACCTTCACCATTTCACTCTCCTTTTTCCACTGAACGTTTGTTTAGTCTCATTTACATTGAACCTCTTTTTACTTCCCGCCTCTCGCAATATTCCTCATCATATTCCATCATGGATGAGATCGCCCCTGAATATGATGTTGTTGTTCTCGGCACTGGTACGTGCTGTTAAGCTGCTACCCCGCCGTTCAACAAGCTGGACTAACACCCCTCTCAGGCCTGACTGAGTGTGTGCTTTCTGGGTATGCACTCTCTTCTATTCCCCAACGACATTTTTGGGTCACTTATTGATCAATATATAGTGTTCTGAGTGTCAAGGGAAATAAGGTTCTTCACATCGATCGCAATGACCACTACGGAGGGTAAGTTGTTCTGACAGCTGGTGCTGGGAAGCTATTCCGCCCGTCACACGTCACCCCCCGCTAATCTTTCGAAACAGAGAGGCTGCTTCCGTGAACATCGAAACAGTAAGTATTGATAAACACACTATATACTCGAGGTACTAATTCTGTTCTTTTATCGCTGCGCAGCTTTTCAAGAAATATGGCAACGTCCGCCCCGGTGAAGAGCCCTGGAAGAAGTATGGACGGGTCAATGACTGGAACATCGACCTGGTCCCCAAGCTGCTGATGGCCAACGGCGAGCTGACGAATATCCTGGTTTCCACCGATGTCACACGTTACCTCGAGTTCAAGCAGATTGCTGGTAGCTACGTCCAACAAGGAAAGAGTCCTAAGGCCACTGTGGCGAAGGTTCCTTCGGATGCCCAAGAAGCACTTCGCTCGTCTCTCATGGGCATGTTCGAGAAGCGGAGAGCCAAGAAATTCCTCGAATGGGTTGGCGAATTCAAGGAGGACGATCCTAGCACTCACCAGGGTTCGTGATCTGGAACGGGATGCTTACATTGTCATGACTGCTAACATGGTATAGGCTTGAACATTGCTCAGTGTACCATGAAGGAAGTCTATGACAAATTCAGCTTGGAAGATAACACCCGTGACTTCATTGGCCACTCCATGGCCCTATACCAGTCCGATGAGTATATTGGAAAGAGCGGAATGGCCGCCGATGCCATTAACCGCATCCGCTTGTACGTGAACTCTATGGCCCGCTACGGCAAGTCGCCCTACATCTATCCACTCTACGGTCTGGGCGAGCTCCCTCAGGGCTTCGCTCGTTTGTCTGCTATCTATGGAGGTACCTACATGCTTAACACCAACATCGATGAGGTCCTCTATGAGAACGGCAAGGTTTCTGGAATCAAGGCGACCATGAAGGATCGGGATGACAACGGCGAGACTATGAAGTTCACCACCAAGACCAAGAAAATTCTGGCAGACCCATCTTATTTCCCTAGCAAGGCCAAGGTTACCGGATACTTGCTGAAGGCGATCTGTATCCTGAAGCATCCCATCGACAAGACGGACGGTAGCGACTCGCTGCAGCTGATCATTCCCCAGTCGCAGGTTGGAAGAAAGCACGGTCAGTGTTCACAATACTTGAAGGATGAAAACGACAACTTTGCTGATACCGTCTAGATATCTACATCGCTATGGTTTCATCGGCACACAACGTTTGCCCCAAGGGCTACTATATCGCTATCGTCTCGACCATTGCCGAGTCTGATGCTAACCATCACATTGAGCTGGAGCCCGGCTTTGAGCGTTTGGGTGAAATCGAGGAGAAGTTCTTTGGTCCCCCCATCCCGCTCTACGAGCCTCTGGAGAGCGGTGAGAATGACAACATCTTTATCTCCAAGAGCTACGATGCTACATCTCATTTTGAAACCACAACAGGTAAGTCACTTCTTCATAGCCCCAAGGGGGAGGGATGAAGAAAGCTAGGCTGGGGTAGACTAACATGAAATCAGCCGATGTCCGTGACATCTATCGCCGTGCGACAGGTGAGGAGCTCGTCGTTGAAGGCCTCCGGGAGGATCAGCGACTTGCCCAGGAGTAAATTCGCTGTCGTCGCATTTGAGAATTAGGTAATATATCATTGCTTTGGATGTTTTAAGTTGAGCCATAATTCCTTTTGGACTTTCTTTTCCTTTGCTTATCCTCTTTTGCATCCTCCAGACATGGCAATCTTGGAGACAGTACATCCCCTCTACTTTTGGTATATATTGCGCCCATAAGATCAGTAGACACCGGGTGCCTCTGAAGATCTTGAGGTTCCAGTGTGATGCTTTCTCGGTTGTCCAACCCAGACCATCAATAAAAAGATGTAATGCTGCAGATTCAAGTCGTCATGCTCATTCTACATGGTATATTCTAACCACAGCGTAAAGAAGAAACCCAACACGTGTATGACCGTAGAATCAGATCCTCCCAACCCCCTCCGGGTCCGTATTGGCCTTCTCGTGTTCACCCACCACACAGACCGCGCCAGTATCAGCTCGTTGGATCTCCGCCCGCAGCAGCGCCAACCGCTTCCCCGTGTGTATAACCTCGCATACTAGTCGGATCTCCATGCCACTAGGGAGCGGACGCAGGTACGTGACTCTGAGGTTCCGACTCACTCCGCCCAAGGAGAAGTATCCCGGCTTAGAGAGACCCAGGAGGATCGTAGTCGACAGAGTATCAATCAACGTCGCAGCGCAGCCCCCGTGGAGTGTTCCCACTACATTACACATCTTGGGGGTTACATTCAACAGGTATGAAACCCGGGCTGGGGGACCCCGAGTTGCGGATTCAAAGCGGAGATCGGCAGCAATCGAATCGATGTCCCAGCGCTAGGTTAATCAGCGACGGATATATAGAGTAGGCTTTTGGGAGGGACGGCACCTCTTCATCATTTTCTACGTTTATACTGTTGGCGCAATGATAAACATGGTCCTCGAAGTCATCTAATTTCCTGTCTGGGGCGCGGACCGGCATTGTGAGCGTATTAATAGGATCCCGGGAAAAAAAAATATGGTGAGAAGTAAGGTTAAAAGTCTATGATTTTACGGGATTTTTGAGCGGAGAGTGCTTATTTGTATGTACAGAAGGATGTGGTACTCCGGCAGCTATACGCGGAGGAAGAACAGCTAAGAGGTAGACTCTAAATTATAGCCGAGGTTGGACGCGGTTGGCTTATGAGTCTTAAACTTCAACCACTATTTGAGCAAAATTGCTGGTCTCCACGGATTGCACTATATGGGACGTTAGCGGTTAGAACTGGAGGCTTGATGGATGCATTTCCTGACCCATATCTCGAGGCAAATCGGCATCCTTTTTTTGTTGGGTTTGTTTGCCTCCTCAAAGACACCTACGTCTACGGGATATATATTTCTCAACAGTGCAAGCGGACCGAGGTATCCTCCATGGTTAGTAAACCAAAAGTTTTAGATGTCCAAATCATTAATGGCCTATACACGTCAATCCATCTATTAAATCTCAAGTGTATCAAATTGGATCTCTGTACACGGACTCAGAGCTCCACAGCAGCAGAATCTGTAGCATCGTCAATCAGTTAATCAATCAAGGTTCCATTAGCCTGCTAGAGCCTCACTATGGAAACATCTAGCGATGCAGGCGCCTCGCCGATATGAGAGAATCTGGGCCCAGAAACGCTGTATAATAATCACTCCCATACATAGGAGATACTCGGTAGCATCATATACTACATCCGTCTTTACCACGAGAAACCGGCCAACACTCCTCAACCAGTTCACAAGGCCTTCTCTTTATCCAAACAGCAAGAAAATTCCCCCTCAACATACCTCAAAAGTACAACTCATGATATCTTACTGTCCCTCGGAGAATCTCCGAATCGTCACAAACTGCATGGGTACTAACCAAAACTACCCCCATCTCACCTGACTGCGCGTCACGCGTTCTGCCTCAGGCGACAAGATCGCCATGTCTAATCAGCCAGCGCCCGCAAGATCTATGTCCATAACACCAAGGCGTCCCCTACTATATAAGCGCGTTTTAATCGTAAGTTATCTTTCATATACGGGGATTAGGATTGTATTTCTCTCGATAAGGCGCTAACAGGAAATAATCTCCCCAGATTGCGCGCGCCGTCGCAAACCTCCGAAAATAATTTCCAACTCCGCATCTACCCTACCCTTTCTTCCCGCTTCCTTCGATGCTCAAACCCGGTCGACGTGCCATTGACGCTTCAGTTTACTCGGTTTGATTCAACGGATTAGCTATTGTACGGTGCAAAGCGCAAAGCGATAATTCACTTGAAGCAGGACTCCCTACGTCCTGGACCACCGGGTACCGCTGTGTCGCGACGGTCTGTCCGTGTCTATCACGGATAGTTGGACGATGAAGGAATCGCGGGCTAGCAAGCGGAGAAGAGTGTCTGATGCGCCTAGCATCGATGGGGATGGGGATATTGCAATGGGCGATCAGGTCGCCGCATCTCCGACACCGCAGAAACCCCCTCGGGACGAGGAGTCTCCGGACGACGAACACACAGGGTCACCGACTGCCTCACGATCAGTGCGACGCCGGGCATCAAAGGGAGGCCAGAAAGCCGCGGAAGAGGATCCGGGCAAGGAGAATGAGAATGGGGTAGAGACGCCCTCAAGGCCTGGTCTACGATCGAGTGGGCGGCAGCGCAAAGCGCCTCAGCGATATGAAGACGAGGTAACTGGGACGCCTGCGTCTACTAGGAGGCCTCCCCCGGCGTCGGGACGAAGCGCTGCCACTCCGAGGAGTACGCGGAAGGCAAGACATGTATCTGAAGACGACGACGACAACGACGAAGCAGAGTCGCCGCAATCGGAGCCTCAGACTGAGAGGCTGACGAGGACGCGGTCCAGGAGACCCCCTGTGCGGTTTACTGGGACTGAGACAAATACGAATGGTGATGAGGAACCCGGGGCGCGGCAGTCCCCTTCTCCGGACGAATACCAGGATGGATTGGACGATCTTGTCTCAATGCAATTACAGCAAGATCTTACCCAAAATGATTTGGTTGGGAAGGATGAGACTGTCGTTGGAGGCGAAACACTTCCGGCTTACGCTGAAGCATTGCAGACACTGGCATACAACGGCTTGACCGCTGAACTGGGGGTGCTGTCTAGGATTATCCTTGACAAACTCACTGGCAAGAGATGTATTCCTTTGAAAGGCCTGGAGAGTGAGTATGACAAGGTTCATCAGCTGGTGGAGCAGACGGTCAGCGTTGGAGAGGGCAATTCTTTGCTCCTTCTCGGATCACGAGGTTCCGGAAAAACCGCTATAGTCGAGACCATCATCTCGTTGCTAAAAAGAGAACACCACAATGACTTCCACGTCGTTCGTCTCAACGGGTTCTTGCATACAGATGACCGTTTGGCGCTTCGTGAGATGTGGCGCCAGCTTGGTCGTGAGACCAATACTGAAGAAGAGGCGGGGAAAGTAAGCAGCTACGCAGACACGATGGCCACTCTTCTCGCTCTTTTGTCGCACCCGGAAGAGCTGTTTGGTGCTTCTAATAATACAAACACCGTAACCGCAGCCAAGTCCATTGTTATCATATTGGACGAGTTCGACCTCTTTGTCACTCACCCACGTCAGACCCTCCTGTACAATCTGTTCGATATTGCGCAAGCGCGGAAGGCCCCCGTTGCGGTTCTGGGCCTGACTACGAAAGTGGATGTGACTGAGATGTTGGAAAAGCGAGTGAAGAGTCGGTTCAGCCATCGCTACGTCTATGTTCCGCTTCCGAGATCACTAGAAGGCTTTTCCGAAATTTGTCTAGCCGGTCTGGACCTGGAAGACAAGGAGGTCTCGGACTACTTGGAAGAAGCCAATCCCGAGGCGCGTTCACTTATCACATCCGAAAAGTTCGGAAGACTATTGGAAGGGTGGAGAGCGTATTTACAGGTATCTTCACCTCCTGTGGGCAGCATCTAACGTTGAACCGGCGAAGCTTACTCAGAATAGGGCCTGTGGAGTGATGAGGCGTTTCAAGCGCATTTACGGAGGATATTCTTCCAAACCAGATCGGCGAAGGAGTTCTTTACCAGCGCTTTGATTGGCATGACGGAGCTGCATTACAGCAGCTACGACCCCACAGGCGGAGCTGCCACGCTCCAGATCCCAACGCCAACCACTTTTAGCAGCCAAAGCCTATCTTGTCCAGATCCCGGACCTCTACCTTTCTCCACCTCGACGACGACCTCTGCCAGTCCCTCGTCGCTGCCCCTATCTTTGTTGCTGGCAGCCACCCGGCTGGCTGCGTTGTATGACCCGGGTCTAGAAGCGACACAGCCTCAGAGTTTGGCTCCTTTGGCGCTTTCATTCCCCGCCGCATATGCCGAATACGTCCGGCTTTTGACGTTTGCTAAGACATCGGCTTCCGTGTCCGGCGCCGCCGCAACCCCTGGACGCGTCTGGGGTCGGGACGTCGCACGTGAAGCGTGGGAGAAGCTGATCAGCTGGGGGCTGATCAGTCCGGTTGGCGGAGGCAGTGGCACAGCAGATGGTCGGATGTTCCGGGTAGAAATTAGCTTCGAAGAAGTGGTTGACATGGCTGGATCAGGTGGTTCTCTGGGGAAATGGTGGCGCGACGGTTAATTTTTGGGGTTAATTTAGGATGTGCATACTTTAGTGACCCTCTTTCTCTCAGGGCTTACATAGCGTCGAAGGAGGACTTCGCTGACAAGCGGTCAATGCAAGATCAACTCGGCCGATGCCCCTAAAGGTAACGGCCAAGGAAAAAGAAAATTATAATGAAACGTCTTCTGTTTCTCTTCTGATCCTCTTATCACCGGGGAACATAGATAGCATATCGTACTAATCAATACGCAAGATTGGGTATCGGATTAGTTCGGCCATGTCCGACGGCAAAGGAGAGTTCCCCCCCCCTCCCCTATAGAGTAAGTCATCCCCATATATTGCATGATTGTGAAAGAAAATGGAGTGCTCCCTGGGCCTATAAGATCTGTGTTATTAGCGGTTGGGCGATCATCAGAGTAAGCGAGTCTCCGTCCGGTCTAGACATGCATGATGGATGTAACGATGGAACTAAATTGGATTAACCAACAGGGAGACTAGACTGAGTCCGGGTTGGTGGTGGATTGAGGGAGTTCATGAAGAGGCATGGGCACAGAACAGGGCCTTTTTCGGACGCTGCAGAGTGGTCCGATTAATTAACTGACAAACCTGCCAGGGGCGTGAAGAAAGAGCCATGTGGAGAAAGATGGAGATGTTGGGGATAGCGTGCCATTTTAGCTTGGACTGTCAACGAGGCTATAATACGAATAGTTATGATAATTATAGGCATGCCTGTGGTCCGGATTTTCCTGTTTTCTTATTGCATCATTTTTTCTCGTTTTCGTGTTCCCCCTTTAACGCTCGCTGGTCAAAGTTACTCAGCCCGTTCGAATGACGGGTCGAGAAGCGAATCCGGTGCGACCCCCTCTGGACGATGCATGGGTGCCCTGTCTAGCTCCATGTCTGAAGTATCAAAAGAGAATAGTAGAGGGCTCTTTCATCCTTCGTGCAAACTGGCGACGAGACTAACACGGATCGAGTTACCACTGTCCGAGATTAGTCCTGGCCGGAGGTTAGTACTAATATCTCTTACTGCGTAGAGGCTGATGGAGACGCTCTTTTCCGGTTAGCCCTAAGTTTTAAACCTCCTGGCTCTTCGCCTGTCATCCTGGTTCTTCTCAATCGTATATCGAACAGCCAGCGAATCAGCGGCGCGTTCTCCACACTAATGCATGAAATGTCCTTCTCCTGCCTACCTAAGAGGATACAACTCACTGGTCTCGGCGTACGGATCGGAGGGTGATTAGTGTCAACCAAGCCAACGTTGTCCGGCTTATGCATCTGTTCTCTTCGTTATGCATCTGACTGCAGAGAAAGAGAGGGAGGGGTTCAGTTGCGTTGACTAGACTAATTTCCCGACACGATGGATGATATCGGATCCGAAATATTGATTCACTCATGGATGTGAATCCATTGGCATGGTCTGATCCTGAAACCCCCTCCCAAGAGGTCCAGGGCAGCGGGGAGCGACATTTTCACGCGAGAGGAGGGCGAGATGAAACCAACATGGACACCGTGGAAGAATGCAATCAAGCGCCAATATCCCTGTTACCTCCGAACCAGGTTTAGCTGTTTAGCGACGTCGCTAAGGCAGGCTGGTGGCCTGGGGCCACCGTCCAATAGGGTCGATCAGCTTCATTCCGATCAGCTTATGCCAATTGAGATCTGCTAAGAAACGTTGCATGATATGCGCGAGCATATACCGTTTTAAGTCGTAGCTCCCTCGACCGATTCCAAATCAACCCTGTTCATATCGGCAGTGGACGAGGATGATTATACATAATAACTCTCATCCTCAGGCATCCGCCCCTGAAGTTCGGACTGACTACTAGGGACTTTAGTCTCTCAGTGGGCCCTCTAGACTCCATCAAGCAACCACTTAACCTCCTTCGCGTGGAAGCAAGGATCTGCACCTGCCAAATGAGAAGCTTCACCCGCCGACATGAGGTATCGGCCTGGTATTTTGGGCCGTCCCCTTGCTGGCGTCCCCTTCTGTACCACAGGTCGCTGTGTTTGGTCATCAGGCTGCAAGGTATCAAACATGCTTGGAGACGGTAGGACATTAACGGTGGCCTACAGCCAAGGCAACAGCCTTGGCCCTGACGTTTGATGGACACCCGGAGGCCACATGGGTATCTGCAGTGTACCGTAGCAATTCCAATCCCTGTTCGGCATCTGCTGTTGACGTCCATTGACACCGTAGATTACCAGCTCAGTTCCGTACCAATACGGGTATTGATACGGCGAAAGGATACGACGGAACCGGAAGGCTGGTGTAATGCTGTGTCACGGACAAGGTTCAACTTACCGCCTTCCCGGAAGATCCTCCACGTGCAGTCTCCAGCAAACAGACCCGATGCGTGGCTCGGAAACTTTTTTTTTCCTCTCTTTTTTCTTTGCGTTTGATATTGAGTTTGTGGCTCAAAGAAAATTTTACTTCAATGATGGCTGGACGGGGTTCTCCGATTGACATTCTACAGATCTCAAATCAACAGAGTTTGGTGGGAGATTAGCTGTATTATGATCTAATGCCCCTAATATCAACCCCAAACCAAGACAAAAAAAAAAATTAATGGACATGCGATCGATCCTCCCATCTAACTATACTCCCATCACCAGCCTCATGAAAAAGTCCCCATAGCGACACGTAAACTCAAAGCAATCAATTACATCATGACAAGAATATCAGCCCACAGATCTCCTTACCTCATCGTGGACCCGGACGGAAGTACCCAGTTTTTTTCTGTAGTATTTTTCTTTCTGATACTACTTCACAAGTCAGTCATGGATCATAGATTATGGAATCATTAATCTCCTCGGATACGGCACTAGTGAATCTAATCCACCTTCTAGCGGCGTTCTAGAACCCTTCTGGAAAACCTCTAGCGTCGCCCCCCTGAGAGCCTCGGATTCTGTTTCGGAGAACAACACCGTCTCCGGACGTTGTCCGCGAAGCAAGATTAAACGGTTATTAACCATACCGTGGGATGGGGGCGGGACTTCGGTCGTTTGTTCTTTTCTGTTTGTTAAATCTCTGAACCCATACCGGGGATGATATCATATTCAGACCGGTTCCGATCTGATACAGATGGAGTTCGCTCCTGTCTCGGTAGATCTCGCTAGTCTAAACTCTCTTGGTTCAATTTTTTTTCTTTTTTACTTTTTTGCTTTTTTTGCCGCCCCTTAACCTCAATTTGTCACATGGAAGTTTAATCGGGCAATGGATAGGATAGGAAATTTCGGAACTTGCCGTCGGGGGTCCCTGACCGTCTGGACGAAAAAGGCATATTCCGGCCCCAAAGTCAAGTCTAGATATCAAATCTTTTGTTTCAGGGGATCCCAATTTTTGGAGGATCGCTGCTATCTATAGTTAATTGTGCTGATGACGATGGGATGACTTAGTCAGCTGCATGCACGGAAATAGTATCCTCGTCTTTCCGCGTTTTTCCTCTTGCCCAGAAGTGCTTGTCTGGAACCGCCGACACAAGCAAACCTATCTCGAACCGGGAACATGGAAGCAAGAAAAGGAACAACGGATCAAATCTCGAGATTCAATCCCAGATCCCCCTTTTCCCCCTTTTGCAGGAAAATACCTACACTGTACTAGTAGGAAGGTAGTGGCAACGCAGCGAACTGGTCTATGCGCTGGAGATAGATATGAAATCAGAATAGAGTGGAAATCCTAGCGCCGATACTCATTCATTAACTTCGGTAACTAGATGTAGGAAATCATCCTTTCATAACAATCCCTGTCGCCCCCAGACTTAGCCAGAAAATTTAAAAAAAAAACGAGACAAATCAATGAATAACATCCACCAAACCACATAGGAATAAGGACCCAGAACCTATTCCGGTAAATTACCTTGCTACCCCCGTTACAGGCAGTTGAATAGCGAAAAAAAAAAACCACGTGGCAACCACAAACCCAGTGCTCTTCCCTGATTGGGTTTAGTTCAAGTAACCCCGTCCTCTCTCTTTTTTTTTTTTTTTTTTTTTTTTTTTTTTTTTTTTTTTTTTTTTTTTTTTTTTTGCCATCTGTTTTCAACAGTTTCCTCTGGGGAACCAGTCCTCTGTAAATCGAATTAAATTACTTTACCAACTTGACCTGGCTTCTGCCACCTTCTTTTCTGTTCCGAAACTGGTGGTCCAGAGCCCCCCACACCTCTTTGACCGCTACAAGAAAATGGGTCCTGTTCCTCGTAGTCTAATTGTGACTAGAGATGTTTCAGGATAGTGGACCGTCCGTTTTATCTTTTTTTTCTTTTTTGGTTACGCGCTTTGCGGGCTGGTTTATTATGATTAGTATGCATGTATTTATTTATTTATTTATTTTTTGGAATCTCCAGTTTTCCGTGGAACGATAGTGGTTAGTGTTCGAGAGACCTGCTGTCTAAATTCTTAGTAATATGTTTCTGCATAACTAACTAACTAGTGGGATGGGACATTGTGGATGCCAAGCTACGTGCTAATTTCCTAAGTGCATACACCACATTCCCTCCTTAGTTAAGGCTGTTATGTAGTGGCTTACTTAGCTAGTCTACCCCAATACCTAGCGCCATATTATCACGATTGGTATTGGAGGATGGAGGTAGGTATCTACGGAGTACACAGCAGGTATGTAGAGATACAGCGATCCACAGATAGGAAAAAAGAACCGAAAATGATTCATGAGGATCCCCGAACCCGCGGGAATGAATAATGGGCGGAATGGGACCCGAGGAAAGATGTGCGTGTTTTGCATCATGGAGGATTTGTGTGTTTGTCTGATCCTGGAGGGACTGGTTGTGGTGTTTCTTTGTATATGGGGGGTTGTGTGTGTGTTTGATGTGTCAAATGAAAGGGGGGCCCTGGATACGAGCTGATAGACATCTAGAAGGATTCTGATCCTGTTCTATCTGTACCTAGTTATGCGGATAGCCGCGGTTTTTTGTATGTATGTTCTATATTAAGAAGGTTTCTAGGGCTTGGGGATCGGCCTTTTTTGTGATTTGGTTTTCTTGGAGGCGGTTTAGGCAGGTAGCCGGGGGATGCAACAATGAAAAAGCCAGGAAAAACACAAAACGGATTTCTACCTTCATGGAGTGATTCCTTATCTCCTTTGCATGGGTGAAAAATTTGCTAATAGATGAAGAGAGGCAAAAAAAAAAAAGTGTGAATGTGGCTGTTGCTTGGCGACATCTAGGCCCTTTAGTATACCTGACTCGGTCGCAAGCCACATCCCAAACGCTACTGACTCTTGCTCTGGTTCCCACAGGCAAATCGCATGAACGTTCGGCACACGGAGGAACTTGCATCCGTCCAACAGGATCGTCGAGCTGATATCTGCCTCGATTTGACCTGTCATCATTCTAAACTCAAGCTTGTCAACCAGCTTGGGAGGGATAATCCCTGTCATTGTGTCTCGCGTGGCGGCCAGGGAGAGGATCTCTTATGCAGGGGCTACTGGGCATTAGTCGTGGCTAGTGGGAAGGATTGAGGCCGGTCGTCGTTGTGCTGTAGTAGGTGCATTGATGATGCATGATATATATCAGATTGCAACTCTATGTATACGTGAGTTCTACTGTTTCCTCGGAGGCTCACCTTAATTTGTTTCAGTTGAGAGAGATGGATATGAGGAAAAGAGATCGTAAAACATCATCAAACCCACTCCATGTGTTTAGTAATGGAAACACGAGAAAAAATGGACTCAGGCCGACAGTGCCCGGGTTTTGTCTGATGTTGTCTTGTTGAGGCGTAGATATGCTCACGGACGTCCGCGTGATCACCTCAGGATTGGGGTTGGTCTTGTTTGATTGAGAGACACCAGGAATTCTGCAGTCTTACCGCAACTTTGTAGAGGGTGCCAAGAATACCGATTGATACCTGGAGGAATCCAATCGAAAGATGTGCCCCAGATGAATTGCGCCATTGTGGCCCAGGGCTCTCTCACCGCTTCGTATTCTTTTTCTAGAAGAGTGGGGACGACCCGAGAAGTGGAATTCACGGCCAATATTCGGGATATATCCATCGACTGGTAGCGAGTGATCCGGAGCGTATGCCAGAATAAGATGCGCCTCTGATTTCTATGACCCGTATTGAATCCCGCGTGCTAGCGTCCACATAGCGGAATCTTTTGGGGGAGCGAGTTCAATGGGGGAGGCAACCTTCGCGACAACTAAGAAAACCTGATATTGGGCATGGTTGGAAACCTTATTGCGCGGGTCTCAGTGGTAATAAGCAACGTTATATCCGAATTAGAGCTCATGTCAGATTTGGCGATCAGACTCTGGACTAAAGGAGCCGCAGAGGAGGGGAAATGAGAGTCGGAAGCAAACAGGATCAGGAGGGCGCTTTGAGTTTCAGATCCTGGCTGTGATCCCCTCAAGACGGCAACTTTTAGACTTTGTGGCTGACTTGATTGGTCTGTTCCCGAGCCCTTTTCGGTCCCAGTATTCGGACATTTATTAGACGAACCAACCAGTAGGTATGTGTGTTGGGCAGTGATAATGAAACAGTTGTTAGTTGGTGATATGTCCAACTGGAAAGATGGGGCGACACTAGTCGATTGTCGCGCACAACGCGGCAAACTGATTCGGGGGCTAATCCATTTCGGTCGCCAATATGATTACCTTTGGTTCTCACGAAGCTAAGAAATGACCTTGCTTAGTTCCCTGGATGTATGAATAGCATCCTGTTTCCTTGTAACCGTTATGTACGTCATCCCGTACGTATGCTGCTAAGTATGTAGGAGCTCCGAGCTCCTCGATTGGAGCTCCTTGAGCTCTCCAATCACTAATTAACCTTCAAGATGGAAGGACGGTAAAGTTAAGTGGTCGTCATTTACCTGTCAGAAAACTGTTGAACTCTACCTCGAAGTATGAACCCTGAAAGTATCCATCGATCGCGAGATTGACTGGATGAGCGGCGCCTGACTACCGTAGCCAAGCCGTCCAAGTAACCAAAATCATCCCGCCATTCCTTCTCCACGTGTGTCCACGTGGACCGCATGGATCTCGGTTAGGAGAAAAAAGAATACATCTGGAAGAGTCATGGAAACAAAAGAGTGACTGGTCACAAATGCTTCAAAAAAAGATCCATCTCTACTCCGCCACACGGGAAGGAACTTGGTCCACTCTTTCTACCTTGTTTTTTATTCTTTCCCTTCTTCCTTCTTCCTTCTTTTACTTTTCTTTTCTTCTTGTTCCCCTCCATCTTTCCCAACGTCCGCTGTACTAGTATGGACGCGTGTAATGTCGCTCGGCCCACGATTGAAATATAATGAAATATAATGAGGCAATACAGCGTAATAACGACGGCTGGTTACTGGTTGGATCGATCAGATTGGAGAACAGTCTATATGCAAGGCAGTGAATAGTCTCAATACTACGAGCAGCTAGTACAAACTTAATGCCATGTGGTGAGTTGACATATCATCAAATCCATTCCTTCAAATCCCTTCAAATACCTTCTTCATAATGGCTGAAGAATGTTGCGAGATGAAGTCGTCAGTTTAAATACTAAGTATCCTCTGGGACAGGCGCTTGATCTGCATCCAACCATTGCTTGATTCCCCTTGGGTGGCTGGTCTAAATGGAAACGCGCGGTTTTGTTCGGCGGGAAGGCTCTTCCCACGTGGACGGGATGAAAGGAAAGGGTTTAAGAGCGACAAGGATCATGATTCCCCATAGCCGTTGGGAAAATAATGATTTCAGCAGCCTCCCAAGGCTCCTCCTCAATAGCCTTACTTCTGGAGGAAAGGTGATGGAGCCTGGAAGGTATTTCCCGGCCCCACCCTTCGTAATATTGAGAAAAGGATGGGCAATTCTAGTGGAGAGAGCGAAAGTGAACGTCGATAGGCCGATGGTTGCTTTTCACAAGTGTTACAAACACAAAAGCGTGGCTGATTAAGGTACTAGTGTCTGAACTAATCTAGGATAAGTAAGAGCCTTTATGCGAGTGTTTGCGAACCGGCACTCTGACTGGCTCGCGATAGTTGGGGATTTCCCGGCAATGAGTCAAAGACTGGTGATCGTTACTGGATCTGGTGGGGTTCAGAATTCAGAGTCTTCCAAGGTAGGAAGGTGTATTTTTGCTTTTTTCCTGATTTTTCATTTGTCTTCTCGTTTGATGTGGTGACGGCTGGCTGGTCCAGTGTTTGTCCATGTTTCGGTGTTGCCGGGTGCTCGTACAAAGAAAAAAGTTGTAAGGGTATGCCCGCCACGAGCCACGTTTCTCTTGGGCTTGTGTCCTGAGATCCTTCAGGACTGGTCCAGGGGATTGGGCCAGATCACGTTATACTTTGATGAGGCTGGCTGACCCAAACATAAGAAAACAAAAGGAATGAGACCAGGAGGAACAAATAATCGGGTGAAGAAGTGTAACTTGAGGGAAAGCGGTAGAAGAAATCAATACGTACCTGGGTACTGGGGACTAGATAAATAAGTGTTTTCATAGGAATGTCCTCCCGCTGCAGTAGTATCAGTACATACCTTCCTTACTCTTGTTTAGTGCAAGCATCTCATGACACCTAATAGTTATTCTTTCCACCCAAACTTACCACTCACTCCCTTACCTCTTAGAGGTTGTTGCTACCTCGTGTGAGAAGATAGCCATACTTGAATGCCTTTTAAATAGTACATAGTATGTTTTGAACTGGGAGGAGCAGAAGGGAAATTATTAGGCGATCTGGCCGAAACTCTCCCCAGGCGTAGATTCCGCTGATCATCCGACGCTTGCAGTGTACAGTACGGGACAGTCCCACTTCCAAGCTGAAAGTTGAAAGTGATTAACAGGTGTAAGTCCTGTTCATATTCGGTCGGGTATTATCTAGGTAACGGCATGGTATCGTTGAGACATCGATACAGAGGTTCAACTGATGTTACCCTCACCAACAGGTTCCTGGGTAAAGTATATACATACATACTGTATCCCGGGCGATTCAGCATATCCTTGCATCGCGAGTAACTAGTTGATATATAGGGGAAGTAATCCCGTGTCTCATGACAAAGAAATCAGTGTAAAATAGCTTCCTCATGGAATGCATAAGAAAGCTAGAATAAAGAAGCAGAAAGAAGCTCAGCATGATGGCACCTGGAATTACTAAGATTAGATTACTGTATACATTGTGACACGTAGTAATCCTGGAGGCGGTAACAGCAGGTAACGAGACCCGGTAACCACCATCAGGTATGGTACGGAACACGGCACCCAAAGCAAGAATTCCTTACTACTACCTCCCATGTCGGACTCTGCAGGGAAGGGAGACCTCTCTGATCGCCCCAAAGGACGATCCATCCACACCTTTGTCCTTGGCCCACGTTGTCTGGTGCATGAAACCGTCCGCGTGCACAGTGGGTCAAGAATGACAGGCCGAATTCTTCACACCCCTGGAGACCCTCTGTTGTGCTCATCTTAGGGACTCCGTTATCGCTTCTTACTCACCTCTAACTTTCATTTCTCTTTCCTTTTCTCCCCTGCTTTTCTGGAACTGAACTCCATTTGGTACAAAATACACACGGACAAGCGGATTAACAGCTAAAAGCAGGAAGTCGTTGCTGATCACGGATCCAGTTTACCGACTAAAATCATTTGCTTCTCCCCGACCAGGAAAGAAAAAAAAAAAAAAAAAA